GCAGTGACTGGGTTTCTGCCTCACACCAGGGCTCCTTACAGCTGGCAGAGTCTCCAGTGTCCATATGTTGCTTATTCCCCCCTTAGAGTGTGATTAGAAATCCTGGGCACAATACTTGAGCTGAAAGTGCTGCTCTCTTGGTCCTGCTGCTCAGTCTCTTCATGCTGCTGTCTTGCGATTGCCTGTCTCATTCTGTAGCACCTTGTAGTCCAGCAGGCACAGGAAGGCACAAAGCATGAGAGGTGCAGGTAGCAGACCCAGGGAGCACATATAATTACAAGCAATCTTTTCTGGTAAATTTCTTTTATTCAGAGATTTTCAATTTTATGTGAAACTGTTAATGTGGACACGCAGGTCCGATAATGATTCTTTCCATTTACTTCTCAAACATGAAGTAGGTTGAAAGAACAACCATGGTGACATGCAAATCACCCAATAGTATTAAGAAACAAATTCCAGTTGGACTCGCAGGTCCTAAAACATTTGTGTGGATGGGACGTTCCCCCATAGCATACGGTTGTTATAGCGAAGCTGGGCCCCCCATTGTGGCAGGGGTGACTCGTGTCCTGTTTCAAGACAAATAGCGTGTAATTACTAACCACGTGAGGGAATGTCAGGACGCTGTACATGCCTTGCGGGTTCAGACCTAAGGTCTTTGGTGTCGGTGGGGTTTTCCGCTGCTAATCTGGCTTGGGTGGTGGTGGTAGTTTTTTCTATCATAGCCTTAACTGCTATCCAGCAACTGTTTTTGACATGGGTGCAAGGTTGAGCTTGTTTCTCCTTGTCTTACATCTAACAGTGAACCCCTGTCTTGTTTCCTGTTTTTGGGGGTGCCCGTCCGTCTGGGGTCTCTACATCCTACCAATTTCTCTACTGTGTTGCCTCTCTGCCCGCGGGTTCCCCCTGGGGGGGAGGGGGGGAGAAGTAGGGGGGGAAGTGGAGGAAGGGGGTGGTATATTTATTTTTGCTTTTATTTCTGGTATTGTTTCTTTTTGTTTGTGTTTTCGTTCTCTAGTCATGTTAGTCTTTTGTCTCGTCAGATGTCTTCAGTCAGGTCAACAGATCCTGGAAGTCAGCGTTAGTCGTGGTCAGGATCCAGTGTGTCCAAATCGTCATATACGTCTGAGTCCTCCCCTCTGCCAACAGGGAGAGCTCTTCCAGAGCTCTCAGCTCCTCCATTCGTTGATACCACGTCTCTAAAGGGGGTGCGCATTGTTTTTTCCAGTAGAGGGGCTTTTGGCCACGTTAAGTATCCGGATAGTTAAGGATTTTTTATAGGTCGATGCTTTTGTCTTGGTGTGATGGATGAGGAATGTTGTGGGGTTCATGGGTGGTGGGGAGTCTGTGAATCTTTTTATGATCATGTGAATGGCCGACCAGTATGGTTGGATGATTGGGCATTCCCACCATATGTGGAGGTATGTTCCCGTGTGTGTGTTGCACCTCCAGCATACGTCGTCCTTCGTGGGGTCGTATAGGTGTGTATGGAGTGGGGTGCGGTACCAGAGGGCTAGGATTTTGTATGCTGTTTCTTGCGTTCCACTGGACGGTGCGCAGTGAAGTGAGAGGGTGCATATTTTGTCCCATTGGTTGGGTGTGAATGTGGTGCCTAAAACTGTTTCCTATTTCCCCATGAAGCTTGGGGGTGGTAGTCTCCTCATCCACATGATCATTCCATAGAGCGTTGACAGGCCCCTCACCATCGGGTCTGGGTCCATGCATATCTCTTCGAACGCTGTTAGGGGTCTGAGGGTGTGATTGTTTTGAGTGGTCTCTTGTACAAACCCTTTCAGTTGTCGGTATCTGAATTGCAGCATGAATGAGTGATTGGAGTTTCCCGTCATGGCCTCTAGTGATTTGAAACAGCCGTTGTCCATGGCGTGGTAGAGCCTCGGTATTTCGTGTCACAGTAGCTGGACCAGCGTCTTCGGTTCCCTTCCTGGTGGGAAGACCTCATTATGGACTAGGGGCAGCATCGGGGATGGTGCGGTGGTGAGTGAGAGTGGTACTGCCAGTGTTTGCCATACCTGCACGGTTGCTTCGATTAGAGGGTGTGGAGCAGCCAGCTGTCTGCCTTGTTGGGGGTCTAGCCAGGGGAGGACTGCTATCGGTCTCCCCACTAGTGTTGACAAGCACTCTTTTCTGTACCCTAAGGAGACTCTGGGATTTTTAGGAACACTCTTGGGACTCTAATATTGAATATGAGAAAAGCTTAAGGTTAAGAGGTTCAGAACTTAGGTGCTCCAATCACCAATGTGAGTCACTTATCACATAAACTAAATAATACAATATTACAAAAAGATGTGAATGGTGAGAGCACACTATACAACTTTACCCTTATTAAACATGGAATTAAACAACCACTTTTGTAGATCTAAAAACAAGAATAAAAAAATATAGGGTAATAACGTAGCAACTAGAAATATCAAGTGCTGTAGATGGTTAAACTCACATGGTTTTGAGCCACTTATAAAAGCTGGCTCAGACTAGCAGCATATCAGATCAACGTATGTATAATCGAACTCCAAGCTGGATCTCCTCTGTGGTCCTTAGTCTTCATTGCTTCAAATACTTCAGGATGCAGGAAGTGATGAAACAAAAACTTATTTATTGGACACACTATAGGTAGCTGGATACAAATAAGTAAAACATACAATCAATCATAAAAAAGTCCTCTTGGATATAAAACTTGACGCGTTTCGGCACAAAGCCTTTATCAAAAGTTCATCCACCTTCTTCTTTCCTGTCCGTTTAAATATCTTACATTTGGCGCTTTTTTCGTCACTTCGAATGTAATTACTTCCTTCTTCCGGTTTCCGGCGTCTGGCCGCATCCTCGACGGTTTCCGGCCTCTGGCCGCATCCTCGATTGTAACGTCCCTTATGTGTGACGTCATGACGTTCTCTCCATACTAACGTCGTTATGCATACACTAGGGGCAGGGCCTTAATGCACTCCGAGAATTTGCCCAGTTCAAAAATGGATCGTCAAAACGTCCAAGTGGGGCAAGCAATACAGTAAATAAAAATTAAATAATAAAATTTATGTACATTTACCACATTGATATTGTCATATCTCCCTATATTCTGGTTATTTCACTTACTATACAGCCTATTGAATTAAAACTATACACAACATGAAGAACGGAATTGTCCAGGTATGCTGAGGAGAGAAAAGCAAGACATCTATTACCACATCTACTTTCCATTTTCATTAGCATTAAAAAACTAAAGCAGTATATGAGTTTAAAAAAGGAAAAATTGAGATCAACCCAGAAATATATACAAAAAAATATACAAAAAACATAAAAAATCTGTAGAAAATATATAAAAAATATATATTTTCTGTAAATAATTTAAAAATATAAATGTATATATAAAATAATAGTAGAAACACTTTGGTAAAAAATTATAAAATGGGTTTTAGGGGTTAAAATGGCATTATAAATATGGGGTAATCTCAAAATCCACATTTAAACCTTGTGGCATTAAAGTATCCATATTAAAAATCCACTTCATTTCTGTTCTTTTAAGTAAATTTTCTTTATCTCCACCCCTCCAATGTACGTCAACTTTTTCAATTCCTGCAAAATCTAGATCCTTAGGATCACTATTATGGTATTCCATAAAATGTTTAGAAACACTATGATTTATAAACTTGCGATTAATGTTATAAATGTGTTCCATGATCCTAACTTTAAGACTACAGGAAGTCCTACCTATATACTGTAAGCCGCATGGGCAAGTTAACATATAAATAACACCTTTACTGTTACATGATATAAAAGATTTAATATCATATTCTTTTTTTGAAGTTTTTGATGAAAATTTCAAAATCTTTCTATATGTTCTCTTTTTTATTTTACAACCCCTACATTCCCCACAATAATAAAATCCATTTGGTTGTTTTAAAAAATGATCTTTCTCATCAACATCTAAAAAGCTTTTTGTTATCAATCAACTCTTGGGACTCTAGCCTGATCAGCCACTTACTAGCAATGCCTCTAGAAATGGCAAAAAAGTTTCCAATCGAGTGTCATATGTAACTTTGAAATGAATACTAATTAGTAGGAAAATTAGTAATTATTGTAACCAACTGTTTATAGACCAGTCAGAGAGGGTGGTAAAGACTGATGTTGGAAAGAGAAAAGAAAGATGGCTAGGATGTTTAGAGTAGATTCGTTAGAATGATGAGTAGCAAGAGAGTTAGAGCCTGCACCTAATTAGGGGCCTCACTACCTACGATTACAGGGTAATTAATTTCAAATGGGACAAAACCATTCGGCTGCATATGGGACCATTTGGATTGCAAGATCCAGACATTGTTCTTGGAATTCATCAGTTTTCGGATTTTGCACGTCATGCCCCGAACGGGTCAATAAGGCTACCATATTACCATAATGGACGTATTGTACCTCAATATGTCCCCACTTAGGACTTGCCTCCAGCATTCAGCCAATTGGTGATGGGGACCAGCTTTTTCAAGCCACAACCAGCATTTCATCCCTCAGGAGTAGGTAGAGGTTAACAATGATCCACATCATTTCATCTGAACTGTGCAAAAACGATAATGTACTTAACCAAATGGCCAAGAAGTAATAAGGAGAGTAGTGAATATATTTCTACATGAAGGAATCTTGTGCATCCTAAAAATGTTTATTGTAGTTAATGACTAATTACAATGCGTTTTATTGCTGTGAATTTCCGCTAGATATTACAATAAATATTTGGTGCTCTTAGAAAAGGGAGACAAGAGAATGGAAAAATACCATTCATATATATTAAGCCCAAAATAGGAATTGTCTCTCAAACTGTTTACGACAAGCAGTTTCAGTATATCTTGTATATGCATAAAATACACAAACCTGGCACATACTCTGGATTGCGCTCATCGTTATATGGTTTTTGGAACAGACTAGTGGCTTGCCCAACTATAATCCTGCTGAAACAAATCAGAGCAGAAAACCAATTGGTTAGATTTTAAAGTTTAGCAATGGTTGACCTAAATACCAGAAGCTGCAGGTTTCAAAATATGTGGAAAATTCTTCAACTTACTTGGAACATTCTCAAAATACTGTTCAAAATTTCCCAAATCAGTTATTTTTACAGTTTGCATATTTTGGCCTAGATGCAAATATATCAATTCCTCACTGTGTGCTTAACATAGTGCAAAATAGGAGCAAATGTTTTGTACTTCCAGCTTAAGAAGAAATCTGTAGGTAAGGCTGCGTCATACACCCCCTGGTTTATTATCATGCAGGTTTTTATCAGTGAGGTTTATCTGCCATACAGGAGTGTGGAATAAATCTAGTAAACAATTGCTAATGTGTCAGATCCTGATGAAGTAACAATGAATTAGATAATTAGATTTGACCTGCATCCCCTCAAATCACATGATTAATGTTTGGCTCTTTATAGTGCATTAGATGAAACCAAGAAAAATGAAAGCGTCACCTTATTAACACATATAAACATTCTTCAGCATGGACTACACACAAAGGATTTATTTTGCACCTACCTATAGATCATATTTTTTTTAGACATGTTTGTAGAAACAGAACACGCATTTTCCATCCCATATAGGGCCGTCTTTCCGCATTGGCACACTGGTCAGTTGCCCTGGGGTCCCACAGTGTTACCCATGTACCGGGGCCGACAGGGGAGATCCTTTGATCTCCCCTGACAGCCCAAGGAGAGCCGCCCTTGCTTTCTTGGTTTGGGCCCTCAAAGATCTCCCTCACCGGCCCAAAGGCCCTCAGTTAGAGAGAGGGAGGTCCTGGGAGGCAGCACCCCTCATACACACAAAGCACCTTTCACACACAGCACCCCTAACTGCTGTCTGTATTCAGCAGTTTGTATGTGTGTATTCAGCAGTCTGCATGCATTCTGCGTGTGTGTGTATTAAGCAGTCTGTCTGTACTCAGAAGTCTGTGTGTGTATTCAGTAGTTTGTGTGTATGTATTCAGCAGCCAGTGTCTATTCTGTAGTCTGTGTGTGTATTCAGCAGTCCATGTATTCAGCAGTGTTTGTAATGTATGAATGTATTGCATTTGTCGGAGGTACCAATAAATATAAACATCGGGTTATCGATAATTTAAATTTTTATTATTGTGACTAGTTGTGTAGGCAGGGCCCCAGTGCACTGCTTTGCCCGGGGGCCCATAATGTTTTAAGATGGCACTGATATGTCCTGGAAAACCATGAAAGTCCCGAACATGAGGGACAGGAAAGTGTCCCATTTGGCTAAGTAAACATTCTGGATTTTGCTGGATTATGGACACTTTACCGCAAGACACGGGTGTGGATGTCAGAAACAGTATGGGAATGTCATATTCCAGAATCCTACAAAAATGTCCTGCTTGGCTAAGCAAATTCCTGTATTTTTACCGCACTGGTGGTGTGAAGGAAGGATGGTGAGTAGTCTGGAATCAGCAGCCAGAGGTTCTTAGGAGGGAGCCGTAGGATTTCCATGAATTAGTAGTAGATTGACCCACTATAATTCTTGAACACTTTCCATTACATTGCTTTTGCCAATAACTGATTCTGGCACATTGAAAGGATATTTGAGAGGCATCTCACTCCTCCATATGTTCCAGTCTCCATTTGCACAGGTTACCACTATGATCAAATATGGCTGTACCACGTGTCTTTTCCTTCTCCCCAGTGAAAATAGAGGCATTGTACAATGGGTGTCTTGGTTCATATCGAGACCAATTACCTACACGTGTACTTTTTTTTTTTTATTGTAAAGTGACTTAGAATGTTAGTGATAGAAATAGAAATGTGGGGGAAAAAAGCAGGAAAGAAAAAAAGGAAAAGCTAGATTGCAATATATGAGTTTGCATCTTGATTTATAGCATAAATGTGAACAATTTGGGGAGTTCCAGATTAATAATTTCGGGATGGATTCCTGCACACCCTGAATAGACCCCATAAAGCTTGTTATGGGACAGTTTGAGTGGGCTGTGTGTGCGGAATCTGCAGAGGGAACTAACAAACTAAAATCAATATCCATAGTGCTGGGCAGCCGTCCCTCCTCTAATGAAGCTCTCCTTTTATTTCCCATGTGGGTGCTTGTGGCTGACATTGGAAGGCGAAGATTAATGTTGGCGTTACTGCGCAGGATGTAACCGGCTTGGCTCTAATTGCCCAAACTGTCGCATTCTTATTCATTCAACTTTTTAAGACGGGTGTGGAGTGTATGTGGGAGTTGTTAACCTTTTCTGTACTTTATTTAAGCTGTACTTAATATATTATTTGTGTAACGACACATGCTAGAAAAAAAGAAACGCAGTTTACTGCAGCTTGAAAGAACTGAGGTGCATATATACTAGCATCATTTTTATTTATTTTTTCTTGTGAATAACGAGGAAAACTGATTTCTAAGGTGAAGTATGGTACATGGCAGGATTATTTTTATGGCCGCTTCCAGAATAAAGCTCTTATCTGCAAACATGGCATTATAATCACAGCATCTTTTTTGATCGATAATATAATTGTAGGTAATATTATTTAAACCCAATCCATTCCGTAGGAGCTGTAACATCCATTTCATATGCCACTTTTGTTCTCTGGAAAAGATACCCGGTGGTAAAAATAGTTACTGTGCCAAGTAAAATAGTCCCTGTGTTTGTAATTTAAAAAAAAAAAAAAAAAAAAAAGTTTTAACTCCTCTTGCGAAGTCATGGAGGAGGAAAGGCCTACTCTAGTATGGTCCAATCCAATGCTCCTCCTAGAAGACACCTGATGCGCATACACCACAAGCATTGTGTGCACATCCAGGGTTTAAACAAAAGGACTACTGCATTGTAGTGGTCCTTTAATACTCAATATGAAGTATTAAAGAAAACTCACCTCATAACAACTTAAAGGACCACTATAGGGTCGGGAACACAAACATGTATTTCTGACCCTATAGTGCTTAACCCACCATTTAGGTGGCTTGCCCACCCCTCAGCCCCCTTAAAAGTTAATAAAACGCACCTTAATTCCAGCTGGCTAACTCTGCCCCCATTGGTGACAATCAGAATTGCTGATTTTTTGCCAATCCAATGCCTTTCCATGGGATTGGTTGAAATCGGCAAGGGGAAGGAGCCAAACGCCGTTTTATCCAATCAGCACCTCCTCATAGAGATGCATCCAATCAATGCATTTCTATGAAGAAAATTCGGCGTCCCCATGCAGAGCGTGGAGATGCTAAACGGCACTGCTGCCTACTGTGCAGCACTGAGCCAGGAAGCACCTCCAGTGGCCATCTGAGGAGTGGCCACTTGGAGGTGTCCCTAGGGGAAATGTAAACACTGCCTTTTCTATGAAAAGGCAGTGTTTGCATTAAAATGCCTGCATATAGTGATTATACTCACCAGAACAACTACATTAACCCCTTAAGGACACATGACGGAAATATTCCATCATGATTCCCTTTTATTCGAGAAGTTGTGTCCTTAAGGGGTTAAGCAGTAGTTGTTCTGGTGACTATAGTGTCCCTTTAAGCTCATTTAACACGTTACGGAGGCAGGAGTTTCTGGATGGTTAAACTGTGTTGGCTCCGGTGCCTGGAACGTCTGTTTCCTGTTTCTCTTGCACTGCAATATAAGAACAGATTAGCCGGTCAGTTGCCGACAATGGACACCCACTGATAGCTTAAAAACACCAGCAACCTCATGGCTAATACTTCCTCTTACTGCAGTGCAAAGAAGAATGGAAGTCAGGGACCAGAAGTGTCGGATACCAGATGCCCAACTTTGTGGTTAAATCATTATAAAACCCAGGGTTAAATCCTCATAGCAGTAAAAGAAGGGACTACATACAGACAGAGAAATTAGAGAGATGTCTTGGACACCCCTACCTTCCTTCAGGCTTTGGACCTTAATCCACTGACATGACAGACCATAAATGTACTAGCCCACAACCATGGGATGCAAACAACTTCTCTCCCTTTGTTCATATGAGCTTTGCCGAGAGATTTGGGGTTGAAGCTGACCGAGCATTCTCTTTAGGACCAAACTTCTGGAATAAAAGGGAATCATGACATGTCACACCTGTCATGTATCCTTAAGGAGTTAAATTTGGCTTTTTTTGTCCAGGTTAGTTTTGTCTGAAGATAGTCTCTGGGGATTTGGTTTTCACCTCCCTGCATGTGACTTACACAGCCTTCGTAAATACTTCCTGTAAAGAGTCATCTAGTGTTTACACTTCCCTAAGTGCAAATTTTGTTTACTTTAGAATTACTTATCTCCTGCCCTGTTAATAGCTTGCTAGACCCTGCAGGGTCATCCTGTATGTAATTAAAGTTCAATTTACAGAGCAGGAGAGAAAAAACATTTAACATGTGATTGAAAATGAAACCATTTTGTTTTCATGCAGGCTGTGTAAGTCACATATAGGGGAGATGTGGCTGAGGCTGCATAGACAGAAACAAAAGTGATATACATCCTAAATGGCAGAGAATGGAGCAGTGAGACTGCGGGGGCATGAGCTATACACAAAAACTTCTTCATTAAGCTAAAGTTATTTATGTGACTATAGTATCCCTTTAATGATATCTTGTATCACTGCGTCCAAGGCCTTGGTGTTTCCCCACACTCATGCATTACGTTCAGGTCCTGTGGTAGGAGAAAAATGTTTGGAGAATAAAATCCCACAGTCCAGAATAGTGCACCTTTTGAAATGAACAGCGTGCATATTTACACTGACAGTTTTATTGTGTGTTGTATGCATTTACACAGTGAGGTTTTTTAGGACAATCAATAGATCTTCGTTAAATTGATCATGCAGTTCATGAATACACTCTATCAAATACAGCAGCTATTGATTAATTACAGCAATAAAAAATAGAATACAATACAAAGTATCATAGGCAAAAATGGGTAAAGAAGTTGTAAAATCGCAATATTCTCGTTTTAATCCCATAAACTTCACTGGGTGTGAAAGCTTTTATGCTCTGGCATGTTAATCCTATTAAGTATTTTGAATCCTATACTAAAGATATTTTGAATCCTATACTGGAGACTTCATAGATACCCTGGGATGTGTGCGCTGTGGGTAATTCTAGTCACCAATAGCTAGAACATCTTCAGATCAGGTTTGTTGAAAATGTTTGTTTAATGAGTAAGATTTAAAGAAACAGAGTCAGACCGCCTCAAATTGACAGATGTTATTGGGTCAGAACGTATATTCTAGCCTGGGGCACACTCCATGTCCTCCCATCTTCCCTTTCTGTGGGA